GGAGATCGAGCCAACGGAGGAAGTTGAAGCTTCAGGTATCCAGCAGTTGCTTGCCAAGTCGGGCATCCCGGATTGCATGTGGCGTGAGTTTGAAATTTTCACTCCGGAGGAATTCGGGGCTTTGGCTGCTACGGACTTGCAGTCTTTCATTGACGCTCTGTCTTTCCCTGCTGAACCATCGGAGGTTTTGATTAAGGCTCGGATTCGCCTTTTGTGGCGCAGATGTGGTGTGCAAGACACGCCGCCGCAGATCCCTGCATCATCAGTGTTGCAATCCGCTGCTGCCACTCCTCTTGTGTCTTCAGAGCAGTCAACTTGGTCTGAAGCTTTTCCCAAGAAACTCTCGTCAGAGACAGTGCGGGAGATGGTGACAAAATTCACGCGGCGGTATCCTTCTGAACCGCTAGGCCCGGATGTTATGCCAGGCCCCCGGCTGCTGGCACTTGTGCATTCTCAGCTTCAGGAACGTCGCTGGCGCTGGGTGCCGTGGAAGCTCAGGCTTTCAGAGGAGCAACATGAGTCCAAGAGCTTGGAACGTTCCCTTAAGGCCCCGCGTCTTGAGAATCTGCTGTTCGAGGAAATCCCTAGTAGGGAGCTGCCCGCTCAATCTATGGGTAAGGCTCAGATGCAGGAGCTTTTGCATCTTCATGCGGTTGCCATTGCGCTTGCTGATGGGGCTCACCTTTTCACACTCAGGGAGATGAATCGGCGCTTTATCGCCAAATGCTTCGAGTTCTATCCTAAGGAGGGTGGCCTGCGCGCCCCCAACCGTCTGGAGGCCGAGGTTGCCGATCAGCGCTTGTGGCAGCAGATTGCAGCTTTGTATAATGACGAATCTTGGACGTTGGACCAGGCCATACGCGAGATTGTTGTCGCGCGTAATGAAGTGGCCGTGCAGCTTATGCCCCGTGCAGTGCCGCCGAAGTCTTCATGGCCAGAGCGTCCTCGCAAAGGTTTGGGCAAAGGCAAGGATTTCAATGGCCGCAAGGGTGATAAGGGTAATAAGGGTGGC